CCTGAGAAACTTCATGAATACCAAACCAGCACTCCAAACAATTCTAAACAACATCCTAAAAAATGGACAAAGAAGGTCACAACTCCATGAGGCCCAACAGAGTGAAGCAAGCAAGCAAGGCAAGAAACTAAAGGGAAAGGGGGGAAAGTAAAAAATAACAGAGCCAACAACAGTAAAACATCATGAGAAGGATGAGTCAATATTTATCAATTATAACCATCAATGTTAATGGCCTAAATTCACCAATCTAAAGAAATAGACTGGCAGACTGGATTAAGAAGCAAAATCCAGCAATATGCTGTATACAAGAAACACACCTAATGGAAAAAGTAATTCATAGACTAAAAGTAAAAGGATGTAAAACTGTTCTCCATGCCACAGGAACCCAGAAAAAAGCAGGGGTACCAATCTCATTTGCAGAAAAAGTAGATTTCAAACCAAAACTGATTAAGAAAGACAAAGAAGGTCACTATATCCTTGTAAAGGGAACAATCCAAGAGGAAGAGATGACAATCATAAATATATATGCACCAAATACAAATGCCCCCAACTATAAAAAACAAGTATTAATGGACATGAAAACCAAATAAGCACAAATACAGTTGTAGTGAGGGACCTCTATACCCCACTGTCACAAATAGACAGATCATCCAGACAAAAAATCAGCAATGAAATATTAGAACTGAACCAAGCTTTTGAACAAATGGACTTAATAGATGTCTATAGAGTGTTCTGTCCTACAAAATCAGAATATACATTCTTTTCAACTGCACACAGGGAATTCTCCAAAATAGACCAGATGCTAGCTCATAGGCCATGTTTAAGTAAGTTAAATTACCCCCGTATATTATCAGACCATAGTGCAATAAAATTGGAGATTAATAGCATAAGAAACCACAAAATCTACCCAAAAGCATGGAAAATGAATAACACTCCTGTTGTTTTCTCTTGAGGGAAACTGGAGACCCCGGAAAGCACTGACTTTTAAAGAAAGAAAAAGAGACAGCCTGGGGGACGAACAGCAGTTTAATTTCTCTGGCCCTATTCCACAATCACAAAGGAAAGAAACAAGGCTTTTATACATGTAGGAAAGCAGCTTCACTTGATCTTAGCCAAAAGGCCAAGAAGCGATAAGAAAGCAGCTTAGTTATTCTGGCTATTGTCTTTCTGATTTTCACCTCTGATGATAACCAGTGACTTTAAGTGACTCACAAAAGCTACAGGAGAATTCACAAGTCCCCTGTTTCCATTCACCAATCCTGTACATCAAAGAGCACACCACAGCCCTCTTCTTATCAGATAGTATCAAGAGAGCAGGATGACTTTTAGCCAAAAATCAAGCCCACCGGCCCACCATAAACATCACAGATGTGCAGTCCTATCTCTCTTACTACCCGTGGAGTCACTGGGTCGTGGTCCTCTGATCCCAGAAAATGGTAAATAAGAAAACTAGGAAAACCTGTTTTTCTCCCCGTGAGACTTTTACAAGGTCTCAAAGTTTTCTGGTATTCTTTTAACAAACAGACTTGTGGAATTTCCCAGAAACGACTTAATTCTCTTAGTTAACAAACTTCTTGTGATCTATTCTTACAACTAGATAGCTGAATTCTACCATTTCCCACACACTCCCTGAAAAACCAATGAGTTGCAGAGGAAATTAAAAAATTAAAAAAGAAATTAGACAGTTTCTACAATTAAATGATAATGCCAATACAACATACAGGAATCTATGGGACACAATGAAAGCAGTTCTCTGAGTGAAATTCATAGCAGTGAATGCCCATACTAGGAAAACAGAGACCTCAAATAAAAAACCTACTGCTGAACCTCAAGCTCCTAGAAAAAGAAGAGCAAGACAAACCCAAAGCTCATACAAGAGAGGAAATTATAAAGATCAGAGCAGAAATCAATGGAATGGAGACTAAGAGAATGATAGAATGATACAAAATATCAATGAATCAAAGAGTTGGTTTTTTGAAAGAATAAATAAAATCTATAAACCTTAGCCAACCTTATTAAAAAAAAGGAAAGAAAAGGCTCAAATCTATGCAATTAAGAATGAAAAAGGTGAAGTCACAACAGATCCAGCAGAAATCAAGAGGATCATCAATACCTACTTCAAGAACTTGTACTCTAATAAAATGGAAAACACAGAAGAAATGGACAGATTCCTAGATGCATATGAATTACCAAAGATGAATGAAGAAGATATAAAAATTCTATACAGCCCAATTACAATGAATGAAATTGAAAATGTAATAAAAAATTTACCAACAAAGAAAAGCCCAGGTACTGATGGCTTTACTGCTGAAATATACAAGACATTTAGAGAAGAATCATTGCCATTACTCTTTAAACTCTTCAGTGAAATTGAGAGGCAAACAATACTTCCAAATTCGTTCCTGGAAGGAAGTGTTACTTTGATTCCAAAACCAGGGAAAGACCCAACCAAAAAAGAAAACTACAGGCCAATCTCCCTAATAAACATAGATGTAAAAGTCCTCAACAAGATACTGGCAAACAGAATACAGAGGGTGCTCAAGAAGATCATATACCCTGACCAAGTCAGATTTATCCCAGGGCTGCAAGGATGGTTCAAAATACATAAATCAATTAATGTAATACACTACAGTAACAGAGCCAAGGACAAAAACCATATGATGATCTCAATAGATGCAGAAAAAGCATTCGACAAAATCCAACACCCATTCATTATAAAAAAACCCTGCAGAAAATTGGAATAGATGGTATTTATCTCAACCTGATCAAGGCTACCTATGAAAAACCAACAGCCAACATCATGTTACATGGCAAAAAACTGAAAGCTTTCACGCTAAAATCAGGAACAAGACAAGGATGCCCACTATCACCACTCCTGTTCAATATAGTTCTGGAGACATCAGCCACAGCAATTAGACAAGAGAAAGGAATAAAACTAGGAAAGGAAAAATTTAAACTGTCATTATTTGCTGATGATATGATAGTCTACATAGAAGACCCAATAAACTGCAGCAAAGGAATTCTAGAATTAATTTATAGACTGAGTAGAGTAGCTGGATACAAGGTCAACACTCAAAAATCAATAGCCTTCTTGTACACAAATAACAGACTCACTGAGAGAGAAATTATGGAAACAATTCCTTTCACAATAGCACCCTAAATATGAAATATCTAGAAATCAATCTAATGAAGGAAGCAAAAGATCTCTACATTGAAAACTACAGCACTCTGAAAAAAGAGATCAAAGAGGATATAAGAAAATGGAAAGACATCCTTGTTCCTAGGTAGTAAGAACCAATATAGTGAAAATGGCCATACTTCCAAAAATGCTATATAGATTTAATGCAATCCTAATTGAAATCCCAACAGTATATTTCACAGAACTAGAGAAAACAATCCAAAAATTCATTTTGAACCAGAAGAGACCTAGAATAGCAAAAGCAATTCTAAGCAAGAGAAACATGATAGGGGGTGTCCCAATCCCCAATATGAAACTATACTACAAATCCACTCTGATAAAAACAGCATGGTACTGGCAAAGAAATGGACCTGAGCATCAGTGGAATAGATTAGAAGATGCAGAAACAACTCCAGACATACTCAGCTACCTCATCTTTGACAAAGTAGGCAACCATCCTCACAGAAGGAAAGATAGCCTATTCAATAAATGGTGTTAAAAAACTGGATTTCAACCTACGAAAGATTAAAACTAGACCCATATCTATCACCATGCACTAAACTAAGATCGAAGTGGATTAAAGATCTAAGTATTAAAACAGAAACACAAAATTTGCTGGAAGACAAGTTAGGTAGAACTCTTAAAGACATTGGCATAAGAAAAGTCTTTATGAACAAAACCTCAGTAGCGAGGGAGCTAGCACAAAGAATCAACAACTGGGATCTCATCTTATTAAAAACCTTCTGCACTGCAAGAGAAACCACCAACAGAACTAAGAGACAACCTACAATATGGGAAAACATTTTTATCAGCTGTCCCTCAGACAAAGGACTACTATCTGGAATATATAAAGAAGTGAAAAAAATCAGATCCCCCCCCCCAAATTTAAAGACCCAGTCCAAAACTGGGCACCTGAAATGAACAGACATTTCACAGACAATGAAGTTAAAGCAGCAAATAAACATATGAAAAAATGTTCAACAGCACTGGTCATTCAAGAGATGCAAGTGAAAGTAACACTGAGGTTCCACCTCACCCCAGAAAGAATGGCTGCTATCAAGAAATCAAACAATAACAGATACTGGCTGGGGTGTGGGGAGAAAGGAACCCTTCTCCATTGTTGGTGGGAGTGTAGACTGGTGCAACCACTGTGGAAATTAATATGGAGATACCTCAAAGAACTAGGGCTGGAGGTCCCATTTAACCCTGATATTCCTCTGCTTGGCATCTTGCCAAAAGAATTAAAAGAATCATACCAAAGTGATACATGTGCACCCACGTTTATAGTGGCACAGTTTGTAATAGCTAAAGCTTGGAAACTGCCCAATTGCCCATCAACTGGAGACTGGATAAAGAAGATGTGGGTTTTTTTTTTATAAAATGGAGTACTACTCAGCCATAAAGAATGAGAAACTAGAGTCATTTATAGCTAAATGGATGCACATTCAGGCTATACTCTTAAGTAATATAAATAGGACACACGTGTAAATACCGAATAGTTTCTCTGGTGTGAGAAACTGAAAGTGTAAAAAAGGCTTAAAATTATTAATTAATTATGTGAAATAGAAAACGGTCCAAAGTGGTAGAGGAAGTGGGAGGGGTAGGGGAAAGGAAAGAAGGGAAAGGAAAAAATATGAGAAAAATAAAAATGGAAACAAAGTCTTTGCAAATAGGGAGGGGTAGAGGATTTGAAGGGAAGGCAAGGGAATGTGGAAAAAATAAGAACTATGATACATCCTAAATGTAAATGTATTGTATACCTAAAATGTACCAATAAAAAAATTTAAAGAGAAAAAAAAGTGAGTCTTCCTTTTTTGTTTCCCTTTTATTCCATTCAGGCTATAATCCTATTCATTGGTGTCACACCCAGGGTGAGTCTTCTGCTTCAGTTAACTATCATACATCCTTTTTAATTTTTTGAAGACCTCAAGGAGCATAGATGACATACAATCCTTAAAGGTTTTGTAGAATTAAGCAGTGAACCCATCAGTTTTTGGGCTTTCCTTTTCTTTTTTTTGGTCAATAAATTGGTTTTAATAATACAATTATGTGTTTCTGCAAACTGTTAAACAGATATTTTGAAAAGTAAATCCATTAAAAATGTCTACATCGGACCTACTCCATGTCATATAGATGACTTGGACACAACAATTTCCTAATGTTTTAGAAGTTAGATTAGTAGATCTACATTTAGAATATTCTTCAGAAAAGTGAATTTACTACCACAGGTAGTTTATTATTAAGAAGAAATAATTTATTAAAATGCATAAAATTGTCCTAAATTGTTTTATCAAATTACTATTTAACAATGGTAAATGTTTTAACAGATGAAAATGGGAAAAGCAATGTATTATTTTGGCCACAGGCTATTCCAAAACAATAGTTGTTGGTGATACCTACTTCAACACTAAGGTCATAGGAAAAACCAACAACACAATTTTTTTGGTCTTATGCCCAAGACAAAAAATTTAAGTCAGGTCTTCCATTATTTTGTTCTTTTAAATAGCTTTTCCAAATTTGGATGGGTTTAGTAAAGATTGATGAACTACTATAGGCAGAGTGTTCTCTTCAAAGCCCAAGTAAGTCAACTATCTTTAAACAGGCTCTGCTTTTTAAATCCTGAGTTTGACTCTGATGATTTTAATATATCAACAGCTAACTGTATTGGTATTGGCTTGCCTCAGACCTGGAAAGAATTTGAATAAAAGTATCCAGCATCTTTGGGGCTCAGCTATAAGGCACACTCGGCTGCTTTACACCTCATCACTCAGGACACAGAGCCTTTGCAGCCTGATCTGCACCCTTTCCACATCGCCTGCTAAATATGTAGGTATCACCTCAAGATATCACCTATGAGAAGTCATTCCAAAGTATATATTTAAGAACCCTAAAAAAGGAAAATTAGCAAATATATCTGGTGTGCTTTCTATGTGCCAGACAATACCCAAGCTTGCTCTAGATGGCTTTAAGATCACTTCAGGATGAACTATAATGCATCACTTTTGAAAGGGAAAAATGAAACTCATGCTGTAATAGGATGGAACCTAAGAAAGATTATGTATATTATAGACATGGATTTTAATTTCATTCTTATAACAATGATACAAGGTAAATATTTTATCCAGTTTTACAGATAAGCTGCGGTTTACAGAAATTATCTTCTCAAAACAACAGCAATAGTAATAGTCTTATCTTAAATTTAAAAATATGTCAATACTAAATACCTTAATTCCATCAAAAGTGACTTGAGAATATCTACTTAAAACTCAAGTAACAAAGATTACCATGTCAACTGAGAGATTCCTTCCGTGATTTTCAAATTAGAAATATATCATGACTGCTTAAAGGTTTCATATTATTTTAAAATATAACTTTATGCTAAATTCTCTACATGATTAAATAGTATGAAAGATTCTTTACAAAAACACTGGAAAGTTTTTCGGTCTCTGATTATCATAACTGTCTATATTATGATGCAATTTTATATCAAGGAAAACTCATCCAGATTTTTCTATAAATAATTCTATGAGAGCAATCTAGGGAATATGATAAAGTCAACATTAAAATGTATTGTGAACTAAATAGTTAACCTAGAATTTCATAAATAATATTGTGTTCTACTACACTAGCATGTTAAAAGATAAAAAAGTTCATATATTTAAAACCCTGTGAAAACACAGAAGTAGCTTAAATTTAAGCCAAGCAAGGAAGTTGTATCAGGCAAAAATATATCTCATAGAGAAGAGAACAAGAAGTGCAAATCTCAAAATTTAAAAGAACAACAATGTATTTTGATATACTTGTTAAATATTCAAATAATCACCATAAAATAAATTTAGCACTATATTTCTTTCACATGAGAGTAAATGTGAAGTTACTGTCATAGAGGCTAATCGTCACTTAATAAATTATCTTGGGTTCAACTTCCAGACATCCTTTGCCCTACATATTACCTTCATTCAAACTGAAAACTAATGTTGAAGAAACTAAACATAGTTAACTCTTTTTTCTAAGAAGAATTGGCCATAACAACTTTCAAAAGTTTCATAATTCTCAGAGGCTAAATCCCCATTTACCACATTCTAAAAATAAATTTACTCTCATGGGTAAAGTTACTCTGCAGGTAATCTACTTTTGCTTTGGAAGAAGAACCATCTATTACCCTGCACACTGAGGGCAGGATCTTTTTAGGAATAATACAGTAGGCATGAGTCTTGGAGCACCATGCGGACAGGGAGGGGCACAGGAGCATGCAGATTTCTGCCTGTGTCTGTTGGCTCCCAGCAGGAGTGCTCCGGGCTGGGCCTGGGAGGCAGAGGGCCTGGCTGGGCCCTCGGGGAGCCTTCCTGTCCCTGGGACACTCACACTGTTGGATCGCAGGGACAGGCGGCCTTCGCAGCGGGCGCAGAACTTGGTGTGACAGTAGGAACACTGGTGGCCGCACCCATCGGCAAACTTTGTCCTGCGACAAATTCCACAAGTTGGAGCCTCATCTTTGTGCTCTCCCTGGTAACGCCGGGCTTCTTCTCCTATTTTTCTTACTTGTTCCTTATAGCTTTCAAACTGTTGATGCAATCTCGGCGGAGGCTGGTGGGGTTGGTTTTCAGCATTTCTTGGTGTTTTGCAGGCAGCGGGCTTCGCCATGTCCCTGACAACACACTTGAGCATGGCTTCTTCCTTCTCCTCCTCCTCCTTCCGCCGGTCCATCACTGCCAGGATGATGTTCCTCTCCTCCTCGGTCAGGTGGCTCAGGTCGGGCAGCTCGTGCATCGGGGCGGCACCATCGGCGGGAGAGGCCCGGGGGCCCCATGGCCTAGGACATGTTCGCGGCCTGGCCTCGCCTCGCCCGGATCTCGCGGCTGCACCCTACTGCCCTCAGCGTAGCCTGAGCTGTGGCGGTGGCGGCGGCGGCGGCGGCGGCGGCGGCGGCGGGAGGAGGAGCGGAGCCAGGCACGGCGGCCCCGCTCCTGGTGGTGCGCAGCCCCGGCCAGGCCGCCTTTGTCTGGGGCCCCCGATGAGGCTCGGCCCCATCTGGGATTTTCTTATTGGATAGATTATTACTTTCATAATTTCATTGCTTATTATTGGTTTGTTCAGCATTTTTGTGTCTTCTTGGGTTCATGGGTAATTTGTATGAGTCTAAGTGTCAATTTCTTGAAAATTTTCCAATTTGTTTGAATACAATTTTTCATAACAATTACTATCTTCTGGGCTTTGAAAGCCTCTGTTGTAATTTCACCTTTTTAGTTTCTAGTTGCACTGATATGAGTCATTTCTCTTTCTCTTGATAAGGTTGGCTAAGGGTTTTATCTATTTTTTTTCCAAAGGACAAGCTCTTTAATTCATTAATTTTTTCTATAGTTTTTTCAGTCTTTCGTTCATTGTTTTCCACTCTAATCTTCATGATTTCCCACCTTAGTTTTGATTTGGACCTGGATTGTTTTTATTTCTCAAATATCATAAGGTCACTCATTAGGTTGTTTATTTGAGTTTGCTCTGTTTTCTTAACATGAGAATTGATTGCAATGAACTTCTTTCTTAGCGCTGATTTCATAGTTCCCAGAGGTTCAAATGAGTTGTGCAGGAATTTTTACTAACTTCCATAAATTATTTAATTTCTTCCTTTATTGCTTCTGTGACTCATTAGTTGTTCAGAAATGTTATTAATTTTCCAGTTGATTTAACATTTTCTGTGATTTATTCTGTCATTCATTCCTAATTTCATTGTAGAATTGTCTGAGAGTAATTTTGATTCTTTTGTATTTACTTGAGCAGGTTTTGTGGACTAGTATGTGATCTGTTTGGGAGAAAGTACCATGTGCTATAGAAAAGAATTTATACTCTAATGTAGTGGTGTATAATACTCTGGATATCCATTAAGTCTTTATGTTCAGGTGTGTGGTTCAGCCCTGATGTTTCTTTATTGATTTTTATTTAGTTGTTCTATCTCTTTGTGAAAATGGGCTGTTAAAATGCTCCATTATGATTATGTTACTGTTTATTTGATCTTTTATTTTCAGCAGTACTTGTTTTATGAAACTAGTTCCTCTAGTATTCCGTGCATATACATATAAAAGTGTTATCACTTCTTGTTAGATTGTTCCACTATCTAGTATGATAAAATGACTTACTGTGTTTCTTCTAATCAGTTTTAGCTTGAAATTAATGTTGTCTGAGACTAAAATTTCTACCTCTGCTTGTTTACCATGTCCTGGTGCATGAAATATTGTTTTCCATCCTTTGATTTTTAGTTTGTGAATATCATTTTGTAATAGATCAGTTTCTTGAATGCAACAGACACTCAAATACTGTTTTATGATCCAGTCTGGCAATCTGTGTCTTTTAACAGAAGATTTGAGACCATTAATATTGAGAAATATTCCTGAAAAGTGTTGATCATTTACTTCCATTGTACACCTTTGCTTTTGGTGACCTCTGTGTTTTTCTTTCTTCTTGTTTTTCATCAATAGGCATTGTTTGGTGTTTTTATTTCATCTGGATTTTTAGCTTTATTGGGTTCATCATTTCTTTCTAAGATATTCTTCAGGATTTTCTGGAGTTCTGGCTTTGTACTTACAAATCTCTTGAGCTAATATTTTTAATGAAATGTCCTTATTTGTCCATTTATTTGGAAGGAAATCTTTGCTAGGTAGGTAAATCTAGGCTGGAAGTTGTTTGCTCTTAAGGCTTGAAATACTTCAAGCTCCTCTGTTGCCTTGCTTTTGCATAATTCTGTGTGTATTTATACCCATTTTTATTGTTTATGACCCACAGGCAATCCATATATTAGCATAGAGAGAAAAATCAATTGTCAGACGCCATTGTTACCTTGGCTATAGTAGTAAATTCACTGACAACAATGGCATTAAATATTGAAAAATCCTAGGAACCACTCATAAACAGACCTTAATCAGAACACAAAGAACTGTGGATATAGTGAAGAAAATTAGGGCACACTTACATTGACCTATAGTACTTTAGACCACTACTTTCTTCTGCCTGATTTCAAACATACCACAAGATTAAATGCTTTCTTCAGAACTGTTATGGTTTGCATCTAGATGTCCCTCTAAAGCCTCATGTGGTCATAGGGTTGATCTAGAGCGTGTGAATCTGGAATTGATTCATAGTGCAATGCAAGGCTCAAGGCCAATAGGATTAAGTTTGTGAGTGCTGCCCACCCTCAGTAGTCTGAATAAGATAAAATGGGCAGGGAGACACTCTTAAGGCCCTCTTGTTACTTTTGCTGCCTTGTAAGCACCATGTTGTTTCTCCTCTGTGATGTCTGTTTGCCACTCCTGTTTTGGAGCCAGCTGGCTATGGACTGATATCTCTATGAACTGTAAGCCAAATGAACGCCTTCCTTATTAACTTTGGTTGTCAGGTATTTCATCTCAGCAATGAGAAAAAAATAACTAATGCAATAACCATCCCTTCTGATGATTATAGCTTACAAACTTGGCCTCTAAAAGCAGAATAGAGATGTTTGATCTCCCAGGTCTTAACCCTTGCCTCCCAGGATATCCCTGGAGATCTCTGTTTAGCTCTCACCCTCCAGGCCTGTCTCTCAAGGCTGTCTGTCATCTGGTTTCTATGGGTGTGTAAATCTACTGTTCTGAAGCAAAACTCTCCTCCTGGGTGTTGACCTCATCTTTGATCTGGTCAGTGTATTGATTGTCACCCTGTTTTCCAGGTCTATGGAGACCCCACACGTGGGGGCATATGGTCTCAGGGTCCTCCTGGACTTTGCGTTTGGGGCCCAGAAAGACAGTGGCTTCAGATCATGGGATGGTAAATGGTTCCTGGATTTTCCTGGCTCAGTGCATGGGTCACCTCTGGCGGGGATTGGCTCCTCTCTCTCTTTCTTGGCTGACAAGAGGTAAGCAGCTGTCTTCCATCAGGCCCTTTGAACATGTCATTTGTGTTTTGAAGGTGGCTGACAATAAGCTGAACTCACTGAAATTGTGAGCCAAGTAAATCTCCTCTCCTTCAAGTTGCAAGTTTCAAGTATTTTGTTTCAATTATAGAAAAGCTAACAATACAGAAAAGTGGCTCCTGGAATAATTTTTGACTGTTTCTGAATATTTAGTTTAGAAAATTTTGAAATAGTTTAGCAGGAAATGCTTGGGAAGATTTGGAAATGCTAGCTACAGAAGCCCTAGAATTTTGTAAGCAGAATTTGAGTAGTGATTCTAGTTGGAGATTGAACAGCCAGATTTCTGATAGAAATGTGGGCAGTGAAAGCTGGTTCAGGAGGTTTTAGTTAGGCACAAGGAAATTGGCAGTTGCACTAGAGACCACATGTGTTACACTCTGGCAGAAAGTTTGTATATTTTTGCCCATTTCCCAAGACATTGTGGGAGACTTTGGTTAAGGGTTGCAGACTAATTTGACAGGAAATTTCAAGTCAGTCAAACATTGAAGTTTTGGCATGGATATGACTGTCTTATAACTTGATATATAATGAGAATTGGGAGAAAAAGTCAAAGTCAAAAGACATATTTCTCATTTTGCCAGGAAGGAAATGCTTGCAAGTTTGGTGTAAAGAAAATCATAGTTGTTAAAAACATTGTTATTAAAATGAAACTGAGTGCTTTGAATTAAGACAATAGGAAAGGTGGCTTGAGGGCATCTTAGAAAATGAGCAGACATCACTCTGAAAACCTTGAGTATATAAAAGTGTAAAGGTGAATTCCTTTAAAATACTGTTCTTAAAATAAATAAATAAATAAATAAATAAATAAATACATACATACATACATACATGATAAAATAAAATAAAATACTGTTCTTTACAGACCTGGGATCAGTGGAACAGGTTAGAAGACGCAGAAACAACTCTAGACATACTTAGCCACGTCATCTTTGACAAAGGAACCAACCAACTTCACTGGAGGAAAGATAGCCTCTTTAATAAATGGTGGTGGAAAAACTGGATTTCAACCTGCCAAAGATTAAAACTAGACCCATATCTATCACCATGCACTAAACTAAGATCAAAGTGGATTAAAGATCTAAATATTAAAACAGAAACACTAAACTTGCTGGAAGATAAGTAAAGTAGAACTCTTGAAGACATGGCCATAGGAAAAGACTGAACAAAACCTCAGTAATATGGGAACTAGCACAAAGAATCAACAACTGGGATCTCATCTTATTACAAAACTTCTGCACTTTAAAAGAAACCACCAACAGAGCTAAGAGACAACTCACAGGGTGGGAAAAAATTTTCAGCAGCTGTACCTCAGACAAAGGACTGCTATCTAGAATATATAACCAACTGAAAAAAATCAGAGCCCCTGAATTCAAAGACCCAATTCAAAAATGGGCATCTGAAATGAACAGACATTTCTCAGACAAAGAAGTAAAAGCAGCAAATAAATATATGAAAAATGTTCAACATCACTTGTCATTCGAGAGATGCAGATGAAAACAACACTGAGATTCCACCTCACCCCACAAAGAATGGCTGCTATCAAGAAATCAACCAATAACAAATGCTGGTAGGGGTGTGGGGAGAAATGAACCCTTCTCCATTGCTGGTGGGAGTGAAGGCTGGTGCAACCACTGTGGTAATCAGCATGGAGATTCCTCAAAGAACTAGTACTAGAGGTCTGATTTGACCCAGCTATTCCCTTGCTGGGTATCTTCCCCAAAGAATTAAAAGAATCATACCACAGAGATATATGTACACCTATGTTTATAGCGGCACAGTTTGTAATAGCTAAAGCTTGGAAACAGCCCAAGTGCCCATCAACTGGAGACTGGATAAAGAAGATGTGGATTTTTATAAAATGGTGTACTACTCAGCCATAAAGAATGAGAAACTAGAGTCATTTATAGCTAAGTGGATGCACATTGAGACCATACTCTTTAAGTGAAGTAAATAGGACACACGTGT